ACACTGCCAAATGCTCTAATTCAGAGGCTAAGATCCACACAAATTATTGGTACATCAGATTCTCCTACAGATAACTGAGGGATAGGACCCTCTAATTAAAAATAAGAAGCAAAAGTTTTAAGTTCATCTTAGCTGCCATCAGTCCCGTCTTGAAACACTGCAGTACATCATACACACACCATGGACCAACTACAGAGTGTTCAGTCATTGCGAGTGTCATCATGTAGCAGCCAAGTCAGAAAAACTGGACAGTTAGTCAAAAATAGGACAGCATTTTTGCTGGGAGAGGGGAGGAAAATACATAAGAGATCTCAGGATTTTCTTTCCTCCGCTGCTGCCAGCAGAAAGCAGCAGTCAGCTGTAATATGTGATAATTTTAAATGCAGGTGGACTGCTCCAGCTTACTATTGTACTGACAACTGGAGCAACATACCTGGAATGCACAGGTTTTCATGGTGAAATGAATACCTACGCACATTTTGGTAAAGACTTAACAGAACTCTAACGGATATTTACGTAAATGCATTCAGTCACTTGACTTTTAGTAGAATCAACAGTGTCTGAAAGTTTCTCAGCATCTCAACAGTTTTGAGATTCCCAGCAGCAATATCAGAATTGCACTTGTGGATTAAAAAACAACCAACAAAAAAACCACCAACTCAGTACCTAGGCTACATAATCATTACCAGGTCAGAACAAAATTATTAACATAAAGTGTTAATAGCACTTTAGTATAAGCAGACTGTCATATACAGAAGCATCTCAGGTTAACCCTAAAGAAATTCTTCCAAACATAGATTACCTATGAGGGATGGACAGACCACCATCCACTGCACCCTTCAGAGCACCAAAGACTTTGTTTCCAGTGGTAGTTCTGGCAAGACCTGCATCCAGGTAACATGTAAAAGCACCAGGCTTGCCATCCACACTTTCCACGTTGTATTCATCACCAGTGACTTCAACTTGGCCTTCGTAGATCTTATCGAGGCCAAATTTATTCAGAAGCTGTGGGGAAAGGAAAGGCACTTCTGAAATTCTTCCCATTAGCTGACAGAAGGTAGAGTCAACACCACCTTAAAATGTGAATTTGCAGTAGAATCATGTTTTTAACAAATTTCTTTACAGAAACCTTTTTAACTATCACCACTGTAAGAATGTCTGTTATGCTTCAACCTACAGTTCCAACAGGCACACCAGTGAACTTAAGACTTATTCATGAGCTCACGTAGGAAATGGATGGATGCAGTTTACATGTTTTCAAACTCTTTAAGGAACATTTCTTACATTTTCATCTAGACTCCCTCACTCCGCCAAACTTAGGGGCTGAGACTTAAAAGTGGGCTGCTGGAGCTGAAACTGTGTGCTGTCATACTTCTGTGATTTGACAGTCACAAGAGGCCATCAAATCTATACGGTAAAGAGCAAAAGTTATTATTTTGAGAAACCCACAGATGAGGTGGGCTGACGCACCATTCAACGAAGTGGGCTTTCCCTTTCATAAGAGAACCAGAAAAACAAGAGCAGCCACCTGCAGGCGCCATGACAATACGTACCCTGCGTGCCAGGAGCAGGCCTGTGCAGTAGGCGGCTGCGTAGTTGGTCAGGCCAACCTTCACGCCGTACTTTGGCAGCTCATGGGCATAAGCAGCACAGACAATCATGTCGCCTTCAATCCTGGCATAGGCAATCTGACAAAAACAAAACAAACGTTAGTGTTCTCACAATTCCAGGCTCCGTTTATTGTTCCAACAGGAATACTGTATGGAGGTGTGCGGCTCACCGCCAACCTCTGCATGCAAGCTCAAGGGAGTGTGGGGTTTTGGTTTGCTGAGGGTTTGTTTGGGGTTTTTTTCTTGTGATTTTTGGTTGGTTGGTTTTTTTGTTAAAGGAAGAATCAACTCCTCAAGTAAGTACAAAGTATTCAAATCTGTATTAGGACAGTGAAAACGTATTTGTAATTACCTCTCCACATAGGTCAAGAGGCCAGGAAACTGCCTACAAAATCAACTTTTCAAAGAATCATTACAGATGTGGGTGAATTCTCTCCCACTTTCTGGCACATCTCAGAAAAATGCAAAACGCACGTGACACAGAGTTTGTGACAACACTGTTAATAACCTTATGGAATGATTTTATTAATGGGTCTGAGACTATCATCATCTCAGGGGTCTCCCGTGAGACAGCAGTACTATCAGGTATGTTTCTGATGACTCCCACACCTCCTTTCTACATCCAAAAGTTGTCCCCTTTTTGCAGGATTCCTACATACTGGAAAGGCACTATCAGTCAGATGCAAGCACCTGCCACTGATTTTTGTTTTGAGTTTCAAAGATTAAATTACCTTGTCGATGACTGAACTGACTATTCTCAACAGCTAATCTTTCTATGAAGGAACAACACTTATATTTTTCCAGCTGCCTCTTTTTTGAGCTTAACAACATATATTCATGATACAACAAACATGCCTAAGTTTTTAACTTCAAAATTAGTCAAAACATTCTGAAAATGAAACAAGAAAGTGAGCCCAGTGAGAAACAGCATATGATGCAAGACACAACGGCATACTTCATAAACACGAAAAAATGCTTACTATTCTTATTTACCAGTATCCTTTAATCTCACAGGAAAGCCATCATAAGGCCTTGCTGCTTCATATGACCCACAAAACATCATGGAAATAAAACTATCAAAAGAGAAGGCACCTTCAGATACAACACAATAGCCCATGAAGGTTGACAAGTCACCCTGTCAACTTGGTTGCCTTCAGCCAAGCAAAAAGGCCTCTTTTTGAAGCCCTTTACATAGCACCAAGATCAGTGTTTACAAAGCCATAGTGTTGTCGACTCTCTTATATGGCTCCGAATCATGGGTCATCTACCGCCACCACCTGCGTCTCTTAGAACGCTTCCATCAACGCTGCCTCCGCACAATCCTAAACATCCACTGGTCAGACTATGTGACCAACACATCTGTTCTAGAGCAAGCAGCTATCACAAGTATTGAGGCCATGTTGATGAGAACTCAGCTGCGATGGGCAGGGCACGTCTCCAGGATGAAGGACCACTGCCTTCCTAAGATCTTGCTCTATGGTGAACTTGCCACCGGCTGCCGCATGAGAGGAGCCCCGAAGAAAAGATACAAGGACTCCCTGAAACAACATCTCAGCCTCGGCCACATTGATCACCATAACTGGTCTACTCTGGCCTCAAATCGGGAGGTCTGGAGACACACCATCTATAACGCAGCTGTCTCCTTTGAGAACACACGCAGGATCACCCTCGAGGAGAAAAGGCAACGCAGAAAGAACCGTGTATTGCAGAATACACCATCTAAGGAGTCTTTCTGCTGTGCCTTTTGCAATCGGATATGTCTGTCACGTATTGGCCTCATAAGCCACCAGCGTGCCTGCAGCAAATGTGGATAGAGCCTTCCCAAATCTTCGTTCGCGAAGCCTAGCCATGATTACATAGCAGAAAAAAACCCCAGAGAAATCTTCCCTCTCCCTAAAATTTGCTACTTATTATAGCATCATTAAAGCAGTACAATCTTATATTGCAAATAACCTCACAGAAGAATGTTAACACTAATAAAACTTCATTTCTATGATGAACGTAATTTATTACTGAAGTTGTGACAACATTAAAGACTGTTCTCCTCTAAGGAACTATTTTACAATACAAAAACTTCTCAGATCCAGCCTAAAAATCCCAGCTGCTCCAACCATCCCCCCTCCTGTTCTCCCTGGGAAGGCCAGTGAGCAGGCAGGAAGCACCACAGGCCTTACCTGGCAAATGATGTCTCTGTTGGTAACACGCACAATCATCCTGTACTTAGGAGTGTTGTACTTGTTTTTATCTTGAATTACCAAACGTTTGCGGGCATAGTAGTCAGTTTTTCCCTCTGAAAAAGCAAGAGTTGCAGTGTGGAAAAACGTGTGAACAAAGTAAGACTAATCATCATCGACGTTTAATTATATGTTACAGGAAATTTAATACCTCTCCTTCTCCTGAATTTCACTTGGTATCTCTTGAAGTACGCCTTATTCTTGACAACTTTCACAAACCCCTTGGATAAGAAATATAACTAGATGTTATTAACATATAACCACATAAGCCAAGACCATCCAACTAAACGTGCTAAGAATAAAACCGTGGTGCAATCAGGAATAAAACAGGTATTCTTATACATTTAGATAAAAAGCGTCATAAAAATTAAATGGGGGAAAAAACCACAACAGATCAAATCCCATAAATTCGGCCCCTCCCACAGGAACTAATGCATACTTATCCCCATAACTTCGTACAGAAGGAGAAAACCAAACAGTGTATTTGTCAACTGGAGGCCTGTCTGCACGGACCGGAGCAGCGACCGTGGTCATTTCCTGTCACTCGCGCACAGCCAGTAATTTCTCGGGCGCGTTCTGCCCCGGAGCCTCTCCCCCTGCAGCCCCCTGCCCCGGTCGGTCCGACGGGCACTGGCCGCTCTGTCAGACCCGGCACCGCTGCCCCGCGCCCGCGGCCCGCACCCGACCCAGCGCCGCCGCCCCGGGCCGGCGGAACCCGGCCGAACGCGGCCCAGGGCGACAGCGCCGCTGGTGCCGGGGCCGGGCCGTGCCCCGCTAGAGCCGCTCGTAGCCGCCCGCGGCGCAGCCCCAGCAATGGCAGCCATTGCCACGCCGGCAGCCGCCCCGGGCCCGGCGCAATCGGGCTCCATCCGGCCGGGCGGGACGGCGCGGCGGGTGCCAGGCGGCGGAGGCAGCCCTCCCGGACTCCCCTAAGCCCTGCGGGGCCGGTACTGACCATCGTGCCAGGCACTGTCCGGTCCCACCAGGCCGGGGCCCGCTCCGCACGACAACTGCGCTCCGCAGCAACCGGGGAAAGGCCGCACGTCCCGCGCAGCCGCAGCTCCTCCCTGCCCGGCGGGGCGGGGCGCCGCGAGCGCCCTGCTGCCCCCTGCCGGCCCGGAGGAGCCGCCGCGCGCGGTCCGGGCAGCGCCCGCGGGCAGCCCGGGAACGGGCCTGGCACAGCGGCGGCGCTCCCGCGGCACCGCGGCATTCCTTGGGGCGCATCCCCCTGCGCTCGGCACTGCTGCGGCCACACCCCGAGTACTGCCGCCACTGCTGCTTCAAGAAAGACATCGAGGTGCTGAGCGGGTCTAGAGATGGGCACCGGAGGTGGTGAAGGGTCTGGAGGGTAAGTCCTACAAGGAGCGGCTGAGGGAGCTGGGGATGTTTAGGTTGGAGGAGGCTCAGGGTTGACCTTATCGCTCTCTAGAAGTACCTGAAAAGAGCTTGTAGTGAGGCGGGGGTCGGCCTCTTCTCCCAGGCAACCAGCGACACGACGAGAGATCACAGTCTTAAGCTGAGCGAGGGGAGGTTTAAGTTGGACATCAGGAGAAATTTCTTCACAGAAGGGGTGATTAGATATTGGAATGGGCTTCCCAGGGAGGTGGTGGAGTCACTGTCCCTGGAGGTGTTCAAGGAAAGACTGGATGTAGCACTCGGTGCCATGGTCTAGTTAATATGGTGGTGTTCAGTCAAAGGTTGGACTCGATGGTCTCAGAAGTCTTTTTCAACCTAATTGATTCTATGATTCTGTGATATCAGAGAAATACAATTCTAAGGAAAAAAATAATATTGCTGTCATCTAACACCTACGTGTAATGCATGATCACTTGCAAGTCTCCTTTTGTTAACTACCTAAGCCAGGGTTATATCCCAGTAAAGGGGTTCGTAAATGGAAAAAATACATAAATTTGATCTTAAAAAAATCACCAATTATGGAAATATGATAGGATATTAATTCCCTTCATTTTCTAGGGAAAATTCTCACAACTGTTAAAACAGTAAGTAATTAAACAAACCAGACACCCAGTTGAATGATGTTCTTACAATAAATTATAGATGCTTGGGATTACTGATATTTGATGAATTAAAGCCAGAATTGAACCTCTGCTTATATACACATATATGTATATATATACACACTGGACCAAACAGGTCAAGTGGCATCAGATTTCTTGACATTGTCAGACAATAATGCATCTTTTTTCCTGATGTATTTATCTGGATATCCTCATTCATTTTACTTAAAAAAACCCAAGAACCCATCTCACTAGTTATACATAGACCAATATTTTAAAAAGCTTTTAATATGATATAAATAACCAAGAGAAGTAAAGAAATAATAAATGTTTCCTACATCAGGCAAGTACCAGCATGGTTCCTACCACGAATGGAGTCACCATCCCTTGAGGTGTTCAAGAAATGACTGGATGACTAGATATGGTTTAGTTGACAAGGTGTTCATCAGTCAAAGATTGGGCTTGATGATCTTGGTGGTCATTTATGAAAAATAATTCTGTGATCTAAGAATGAATTTTAGAAAGCTTAGAATTCTGCATGCTTTTCAATTTGTACATGAAGTATCTCTTGGGGAGCACATTGTCTTAGCTACTCTCTGGCATATAAATTCGTGCTCTCCAATAAGGGTCTGCTGGCCACTGCTAGGCAGTTACTTCGGTGACCAATGTCTCACAGTCAATGGTATCACAAGCAAGACTCCATTAATCTTGTTGTTAAACAAGTAAAAAAAAAAATCAATTTCTTCTTCTCTATAAGAAGACCTTTTACTCCTAAAATAGCTCACCATGACAAAAATCAGCCTGTTAACCCATCACACCCACACACTTTCTTGCTCATTGTCACCCTGCAAAACGGAAACTCCCACTGAGCTTATTAGCCCCACCCCAGAATCTCTTACAAATTCAGGGTGAATTGCTCCTCTGGCCTTTAGTTGACAATGTTTGTTGAAAGGGTGGCTGCTGTTCATAAAGGCTCTGAACGTGTTGAAGTAAAAGCCAGTATTTTCAGTGCTTTAATGAAGTACTTTAAACTGATAACACATTGATAAGAAAAAGGTATACACTCTTTTTCCCGCACTCCCGATGTTACTTCTCAATTTCTGTCATATTTTATGTGTTATTTTTACTTACCTGAGTTCTGGAGAGCAAGGTATCAGGCAGGTCCTTTAGAGCAGTCTCTTGTACTTGTAAGTCTCTTTGTCTGATGAAACCGGTACTTTATCAGCACCTCCTGGAACCAGGGCCCCTGTCCCTGTTTGTCTGCAGAGGACTTAAGGCAGAAACGCTGTTGTCTGTGACTGGACTGACCTGTGGTCACTTTTAGGAATTGTACTTTTTTTTTCCCTGTACTCGCAGCAGTGACAGCCTTATTTCTGCACAAGAGTTATGCTGAAGGCCTACCTATAACCTATTCCTGCTACCGCTGCTTATCGTTTTTTTAAGAGTGTATTCTTTGCATATTTGTGTTATAAAGCAGTAGTATGGAGTGCTGTATGTGTCCTGGAATTACTTTTATATTTTTTTAAATGAAAATTATATTTAAGATTTTATTAGAATTCTTCCAAATGAAAATTTCTGTATGGTTTTGTCTAGGAGCCTCTACTCATTGTGGAAGGACAATGGCAAATGGGCTCATTATTAGACGGGGAGCTGCGCCGGGCAGACAGTGTCTCAACTGTTTGTGTAACCTAATCGGCATCTGGCTGAAACGTGTCTGACAAATGTGCGTGGGGAAGGGCCCATGTAGCCCGAGGCTGCGTGGTGCTCCCGGAGAACGCGTTACTGTGGGCAGCTTCCAACGCGGAGAACGCATTATGAAAATCCCTGGGCAGACGCTCTAATTACACCAAAAAAGCCAACTCTTCGCGGAGCAGGGGCTTCGCGTCCTCGCCTCGTGTGGAGGCAGCTCCGTGTCCCCGCCGCTGCCGTGAGGGGCGAGCTCGGGGCGGGGGTTCGGATGCCGCGACCCGGGGCCGGGCGGGGGCTCTGCTGACGGCCGGGGGCTGTGCCGGTGCGGCAGCGGTGACACCTGCACGGTGCGGAGACAGCTCGTCGCCCGGCCTTCCAGCACCGGGGCCCCGTGGCAGCCCCGGTGCGTTCCGCGGGGAGCCCGGTGGGGCAGAGCCGCCGCCCCTTCCCGGCCCGGAGGGTGCGGGGGCCGCGGCGGCCCCTCGCAGCGGCTGCGCGCCCAGTGCGCCTGCGCGCGGCGCGGGCCGGGCCGTGTCCGGGGCGCGGGGCCGGCGGGGCGGCGGCGGGGGCTCGGCGGGCCGGACGCCGATGCCCGCGCGCGCCCGCTCCTCCCGCCGCGGGCAGCGCTCTCAAGGTGAGGCGCGCCGGGCCCGCGGCGGGGCCAAGGAGGGCGGGAGCGGCCGGGCCCGGGCGGGGCGCGGCGACCCCGGCCCGCTGTCTTGTCGCGGCAGGGCCGGGCCGGGCTGGGCGGTGTCGGGGCGCCGCCGGCTGCCCCCGCCCGGGCCCTCCTGGCGGGTTGGGCGGTGCGGCGCCGCTGCTGGGCAGGGACCCCCCGCGCTCCGCCGGGAGGGTGAGGGGAGGCCGCGCTGCGCGGCCCTGCCCGGCTCGGGAGCTGCGGGGCCGGCGGGTCTCGGGCCCGCGGCGGGACGCGGGTGGGAAGCGGGAGCTCCGCGGGAAAAGTGCCCGGAGGGAGGGGCCGTGGTCCGGGGAGACTCCAGAGGGTCCGTCTGCAGAGGGCGAGTTCTGCCTTGGCTGGTGGGAGTACCCGCCGGTCTGTCATTCTTGAGAGAGAGAATTTTCAAATAGTGCTTCGGAGATCTCGTTTCCTGCCACCTTCTGCTGCATCTGCATGAACGTGGTTATATAATGAGAATAAGAAGTCGATATTAATGTTCTGGCTACTTATAGCTGTATTTACTAGTGCCATTTTGCTGTGGTTCCATGTAAATCCTGCTATTTGTTAGCATTGATAATCAGGGCAATTCCATAGTAAACGAGAAAATGGGTTTATACCATTTTCAGTTTCCAGCGTGAGCTGCCATTAACACTGCCTGTATCAAAACATGGCATTCCACATCAGTCTTAAATAACTTCATCTTTTCCAAAGATCACATGCAAAAGATGTAGAAAGAAGACAAATTCATAGGGAGAAGAGCAGATAATGTTCAATATGTTTTACTTGTCTCCAAAAGTATTTGCCGAAAAATTCAGTTTTTTTTTTTCTTGTTTTTTTGTTGTTTGTTTTTTTTTTAAAATTTGCTTTACTTCACATGTCTAAAGAAGATGGTAGCTGGATCTTGTTTGGTTTACTGGTAGATAGCATTAAAGTGTTTTGTATAAATGTGCCTGTTTATTTCTCTTCCCTTTCTCCAGTGTGCAGTGTCAGCTTTGATGATTATACAGCTCTCTGTTTATGCTTATAAAGATTTAAGGCTTATTTTGAAATACATAGCTATGAGTTCTTTTTCAAGTGAGGATTAGGAGAGGAAATAGACACAGCCAAGGAAAGAGGAGCATGATCAGGAGGAAAGCACTCGTATTATGAATCAGCATTCCCTGAATCTGATAAAGTGGGATGAGAGCAGCTGTAGGGATTGTCACTGAATGTCCATCCAGCCCAACAGTACCTTGAAGAGGAACAGATGTTTGGAGAAAAAAAACCTTTAACAGAACAGCCCTATTTCCTCCCTATATCTCTTCCTATACTCACGCGGGTTGAAGTTTACAGACTTCCTGAGCTACAGCTGCTGGCTTGGATTTTTTGTTTTGGTAATGTTGGTTGGGGTTTTTTGTTGGTGTTTTGTTTTTTTTTTGTCCCCATTGCACTCCTATGTTTGCCTTCTGTAGACTTGTTTAGTTGCTGTTAAACAAGAAAACAGGAGGTGGTTGGAGAGTGGAGTGGTTGAAATGGTGTTAATGGAAAGGAAGAGATGGGAGAAAAGCTTTTCCAAATTTATAGGAGAAGAAGGGATGGAGAAAGTGACATGCCTAAATAATTACTGTCAGTTTGTTCTCTGGGTAGGATTGATAGTAAACAAAGAAGTAATCAAAATGGGAAGACAAGTCCTTTGTCAGTGAATTTTGGAAAACAAAAGTGTTTACCTTGCTAATTCAAGCTTCTAATACCATAATTTAGAAGGGGGAAAACAGCTGAGTTGGGGGTATGCATACTTCAGATTATGCTTATATTTTCTTAGTCTTCCTGGGTTGTTTTCTTAACTTGTAGAAAAAAGGAATTCTAATGCTTAAGGAAGAGACATAGTAGAATTTAATATTTTGGATATAATTTTAAGTGTCAAATGTATAGTTTAAAAGAAAAATCTTTCTCTGGTGGTCCAAGAAGAGAAATAATAATGAAAAG